TACAGGAACAATGTCGAAGAACATCCGTTCAGAAACATCATCGAACAGGCTAGTCACTATTTCATAGAAAGTGGCATGTCACAGTTAATTTCATGTTTATATAGACTAATTTTTATGCTCATTTTTAACTAGAAATGCTAGTGTTAGGCTAGATGATTCATATATCCCTTATTAAAGTGGTGGATGATGAAAGAATATCCTCTATTGGTACTAACTAAGGTGCATGCTTGTATGCTGTGGTTTCTCTTTTAACTCGGAAAAAAAAAAAAATCTACATGCTGACATGGACTAGCCATGTTGTCATGTTGAGAGTTCAGTTTTAGTGTTCATCAGGCGATAAGCACCACTCTAGACTGCCCAAAAAAATCTGAACGGTCCAAATTTTATAAAATTTATTTTTTAAAATTTTATTTTATATTTAATATAAAAAAATTATAAAATTTTAATAAATTTACTTTATCATCAATCTAGATAATATTTAAAGTACATCTGAATAATCAATTAATAAAAAAATTAAAAAAATTAATATTAAATTTGTCTACTTAGATTAAATATGTATTGTCTAGATTGATGATAAAATAGATCTATTAAAATTTTATAATTTATAATTTAATAAATATATATTAAAATATAAAAATAAAATTAATAAATTTATACCGTTCAGATTAAAAATATGAAAAGTCCTGATTGCGTGCTAATCACCTGATCAGTGCCAAAACTGAACTCGTCATGTTGATATGCAACTTGTACTTATTTGGATTTTTTTAATTACTTATTTGGATTTTTTTAATTCATTTTTTCTTTATTATATTACGATATCTACAGAATACTGAAAAAAGTCAAACAAAATACCCTTCCTCGCAGTGGCAAGGAAATTAACGGTATCTAGTTATCTAGACACATGTATGCATATGTATCAATATTTTAGAACCGAACTGGATATTAAATTGAAGAGGCCAACGGTCTGTGGTTCGTATGGTCCAATTGAGTTGGACCAATAGTCAAATCAGTGACGTCATAATTAAATTTAAAAATTATATATCTATATAATAATATAAATAAAACATCAAATAATTAAAATATCAAGATAAATAGTCAACTTCAACTTCAACATATGACAAAATAACAACTAACAAGGCAATATAACACAACACACTAATAATTTAAACAAGCATAACATCATATTTATCTATTCATGACTTGTCAAAGATTGGTGGATCCTGATTAAGCCAAGCATGAGTTTCCCACAAATCATCATCACTATAAGTTTCAACATCTTCTTGGGCAAAAGATCTCAAATCAAGTCCTTCCATGATTGAACATCCATCCCCAGACGAAACCTCATTGCCTCCTCCTTCATTATTACCTTTATTAAATAATGTAACAAATCAAATATTAAAATTAATAAGTAACACATATTATAAGAAAAAAAATAACATGACTAAATACTAGAAAATATCAAAGATCAAACCTTCATCTTGATTGATAGAAACTTGTGGAATTATTGTATCATCATAAAGCATAGCTTCTTCTATCTCATCATAATTAAGGGTGGGAGAATCTTCATCTTCCATGATCCAATACTCAATGTCACCAATACTTTCATAATCAATAGGATCAAAAGATCTTTTCTTGTTATAAACTCTAAAACACATAACCAAAGTATTAAAATTTTAGAAGTTAACTTATAATTAAACTCATGTTAAACAAAGTTTAGCTATAATTAAATAATATACCTATTTCTCAAACGAATGTTGTAATGAATAAACACAAGATCATTTAATCTTTTATGCTCCAACCTATTCCTTTTTTTAGAGTGTATTCTTTCAAAAACACTCCAATTTCTTTCATAATCAGATGAAGATGAAGTTTGGCTTAAGAGTCTCATTGCCAATTTTTTAACATGTGGTGTACTATCACCAAACATTTTCCACCATTCATCTGTAAAATTTAGCATCAAAGATAAACATAAGTAAGAACTATAAAAACTAAAAAGTATTAAAGTTAAATGAAAAAAGCATTAAAATTTACTTGGCTGCAATGAGTTTATAGATGAAATGGCCAAGGAACGACCAAAGCTGTCAACTCTATCTTGATACAACAAACTTTCTTGCACAAACTTGGTTTTGTTAGAAGTAATTGTCTTATCCAAAACATCAAGAAATCCAGCCATAACCTCTGGCTTTTTACAAAAGCTCTGCTTATCATAAAAGAACACAGGATTTAGGAAATAAGCTGTTGTATGAAGCTTCTGATGAAGTTGAGAATCCCACCTTTTCTTGATAATCCTTGTGTAAGGCTTATACAAGGGCTTTTTATTCATTAATATATTCTTGATAGTTTTTCTTACCCTGTACATGCCATCATATACATACCCAAGTGAAGGCCTCTCATCAGCATCAACAATCCTCAACAACCAAATAAGTGGTGAAATAATTTGGACCACAATTTTACAATCATTCCAAAATTGATTGTCCAGCACTATTAAAGTCACATCCTTTGCCTTTTCTCCTTTTGAGTATCTAGAATCTAAAAATACTTTGCTAGTTACCAAGGCTTGCAAATCATGTTTATGCTCGTGAATACTTTTCAATGCAATAAAAGTGGTAGCAAATTGTGTCACCCTAGGGCAAATAATTTCAGTCCAACCTTCTCTTTTTCTCAGCCAAGCAAACAAAAAGGCATAATTATAAATAAACTTTGTCACCATAGATGCACGTGTTGCCAAGCCAATCACAATATCCATTTTACCGATATCTCCTAAAATCAAATTCAAACAATGTGCAGCACAAGGAGACCAAAAAATAAAAGGAAATTTATCATATAATAACCACCCAGCAGCTTTATAATTAGCTGCATTATCAGTTACCAAGTGCACAACATTTGTGACTCCAACAAAGTCAACCATTTCAGTGAACAAGTTGCACAAATTTTAGGCATCCTTGACTATGTCTGATGCATCAACAGATTTAATAGAAACAATTCCCCTAGGAGAATGGACAAGAAAGTTAATCAATTGCCTATTTGCTTGATCTTGCCAACCATTGGCCATGATTGTCATCCCAAAAGTTTTTAAAACTATCAAGCAGTAATTTAGTTCTCATGGCATGATAACTTGGCCCTTTATAACCAGGGCCAATAGCTGTAAATGCATCAATCATAGGTTGAAAAAATGCTGAATTGACAACATTCAATGGGATACAACAATCATACATCCACTTAGCAAAAGCCATGTCTGCTCTACGTATAGGTTCTTTACCTGCAAGCACACTTCGTATCCCTGGCTGTGCTCCTGGGGTTGTTCTTGGTGCAAAATATTTGTCAATAGGAGCCTTTCTTTTTCCAAGTTGAGTTTGACTTTGTGATTGAATTTCCTTGAGGGTTTGAGATTGAGGAGTAGAAATTTCTTCTAAATTTCCATCATGACTTTCTAATGGTGTGACATTAGGGCTATATGGATTGTTCTCTTCATAACTATCTTGCCTTTTGCCTTTATTCTCCCTAATCTCCTTTAAATTTTCTTCGAGTCGGTAGCGAACATCAGCCGGCACCTTTTTGCAACTTATTGCATCCCCTTTCTTTCCAGCAAGATGTTGTTTCATTCTATGAATCCCTCCACCAGCAAATTCTTTTGCACAGTACAAACATTTTAGGCAAACTTTGCCATCTGGGGGCTTGACCTCAGCACAATGCTCCTATGTAGGATCTGTCTTTGATCTAACAGATTGTGTTGATGCAATAATTGAAGCATTTTCAGATGTCATTTTCTACAAGGCAAAATTTAGATTTGTCATTAAAAGACCTAATCAATATATAAAGTATAAATAAAGAAGAGTAAACAAATCAGATTAAGCATTCCATTCCAGTGGTCAGTCTCAAATTGGTTATCAAGTATCAATTAATTGATGCATTGTCAATGAATGCTTGTAGGCAGCTTAAAATCCATTACACAATCATTATATGCAGGCATATATAGCATTTAATCAAATCAGGTCTTCAATAGATAAGGAATTTGAACTTCTAAGGAATTGAAAATTTGAAATACATAAACATTGAAACTTACTTAGATTTACTTAGACTGTTAGACGATAAAGCAGAGCCAGACCAGGAAGAGGATAGCTTGGTGAGGATGAGGAAGATGAGGAAAAGATCACTCGTGGGCTGTGGCTGCTCTTGTTGATGCCAATCGATAGGGGAAGATGAAGGAAATCAGTGAAGTCACAGCTCTGGCAAAAAAAAAATTCAGTGAAGTCACAGTGGTAGAAGAGTTAGAAATCGAAGCTGAAGCCTGAAAGACAAAATCAAAGCTCAAAGAGACAAAGAAAATGCACAAAGCTAAAAACAGAAAGCCACCGCCGCACTGCCAAAGTCAGAGAGAATGGGAGGAGAAGAGCAAAATCTAAAGCTTGAAATCATAGTGGGAAGCTTGAAATCGAAGCTCAAAGAAAAAGTGTGATGCTTGGAAATGGAATCGAAGAATCGCAGCTCAAACCAGATGCGCCAACCGTGACTTCGCAGCTCTGAACTGAAATCGTGAAACTGAGAAATGAAACAGGAAGCCAAACCAAATGCGCCGACTGTGAAAGTGATCTAAAAGTCTGAACAAGAAGCCAGAAAATTTGAAACCGTGACTTTGTAGCTCAAAGAGATGAGAGATCTGAAATCGTGACTGCCCTGCGAGCTGAGAGCTGAGTGTGCGTGCGGTGTGCCTCTGCGTCTGCAGTTTGCTTTTCAGTTTTTCTTTTAGGGTCAAAATCTGAATTCTAAAATATATGGGGCAAAAAAAAAAAAGAACCATCGGGCTTTTAAAAACCGGACCCGGTTCGCAGCCCAACTCCAGTTTGCAACCCAACTGATGGTTTTGGCTGGCTCAACCCGGCTCAACGTCTCACATGATTTTTCCCTCCTGGCCGAGCCAGAATGTGGACCGGCCGACAGTTCGACCGTCCGGTTCGGCTTTAAAATCATTAATATGTATATCTTATAGAGCCAGTATTTTGTATTCAACCTCATGTTTTCTGTTCATGTAACCAATTTGTTTGTGTACAGATTCTTCTAATTCGGTATTTGGTGTCTCTGCATAATACAGATACTTCTGAGCAGTCTTTCGCTTCTAGATCCTTGTCAAGTGCCTCGCAACTAATTTTATTGATAATCAGAGAAAAAAATGAGCCTGCGGACGAACAAAATTTCGAATCCAAAGCAAAACGCTCGTCTTCTCCAGCTTTTAATTACTCCATCATGATCAAGAACTTCGATTTCCGCCATTAATGGAGTTCACTAGGACATACAACACCTCCTTCTCTTTCTTCTCGGCCATAGACAGGAGCAGGCACGATGTGTTCTTGAGCTTCAGAGGCGAAGACACTCGCTACAACGTTACCTCTCAGATCTACACGGCCTTGCGAGATGCAGGAATTCCAACCTTCAAAGATGACGTAAACCTTCAGAAAGGCGGTGAGATTGCTTCCGAGCTTCTAAAAGCGATCCAAATGTCGAGGATCGCGATCATAGTGTTCTCCAGAAACTACGCAACTTCGGGTACGGTTGGATTGAAGAGAATTGAGATTTATTATTTTTTTTTCAATTGGAATTTCTTTACCCTCTCATTTTTCTTGATTCGAACATATATCTCTCAGGATGGTGCTTGGATGAGCTTGTGAAGATCGTGGAGTGCAAGAACGAAGCTGGGCAGGTTGTTGTGCCTGTGTTCTATGATATTGAGGCTAGCGATGTGGAGCAGCAGAAAAATAGTTATGCAGAGGCATTTAGAAAACATGAGGATCGATTCAGGTTGGAAAACATGGATGAGAGCAAGTTGGGAAGTTGGAGAGAGGGCTTGAAACAAGCAGCTTCAAGTTCTGTTGGGTGGGATATGCAGAACGTTGCTAGCTGGTAAGTCTCTAACTCTCCTTTTTTGTCTCAATGATTTGATTTTGGATAAATTTGTTATGTCAGAATGCATAGACTGGTTGTGGCTGTTCGTATTTTGTTTGATCAAATGTGCCATTGATGAAAAAGTTCTCGTAGGCTGGTCTTTGAGAATTTCTCGTCATATTCAGTCGCTCTTCATACAAATGATTGTTTAAATAGTACATAAGTTGTAGCCTTATACAAGTCTATACTCAGTTTTTGTGTCAATGGTTTGATTCTGGAGAAATTTATAAAGTGCATAGATTAGTGATTGTTGTATTTTGTTTCTTTACATGTGTCAGAAGTGAGAAGTTTTGATGGTGTGGTGAATTTCTAGTCATATGTAGTCACTCATATTGTGATCGTGTGAGTAAAACATAAAGCTTTACTCTCTTATTTTAAGTCTTGAGTCATAACAACATTATGCAGCAATGAATGACATATTTTAAGGAATTATTGATGGAGCTTCTTCTAAGGATCTTGTTTTTTCGAATAACATGGCCACAACCTAAGTTGTGCTGGAGTATACAAAGCTAAGATACATTAAAAGTAGGTCAGTATATCCTATAGGAAGATCATTGATAATTTTAACATCAAGACTAAGTTAATCTGTTCGGCAAACAAGCCAATCAGCAAATTTGTTAGCTTCTCTAAAGGTGTAATCAGTGCACACAATCCGGTCTCTCATGATGAGGTTTCTGATCCTTCTAACAATGCTTGAAGTTTTAAGGATCTTGTGAGTTGTGTTGTGGTTGTGGATGAAAGCCTTGATTTCTTATCCATCTTCTGGTATAAATCACTAAAATTGAGATGGTAAAACCTGGTCCAAAGTGATGAGTTGGGTTTTGGGTTAAAGTAAAATCTAACGGACACCAGTGTGTTTTCCCCGACCTAATTTGTCCAATATAATATAATGATAGTTGGCCAAAATATATATTTAACGGTAAAACCTTCTAAGTTCACTATTGCTAAGTACTTGTTCATGATTTCAACATGTTTCATCACGTTCCTCTGCAGGCATCAATCAAAATTTATTAAGGAGATTGTGAAACATATTATGAGTAGACGGCAAGATGCTCACATGAATGCCTCCATCTTCCCTCCAAGAAGGGAGGTAGCTGAGGAGTATTTAAATCTTCTATTAAGTGTTGTTTCAGATGACATCCTTGTAATAGGCTTATGTGGAGTTGATATGACCAACATTGCAAAAGCAATCTATAACAAAAACTTTACAAGATTTGAGTATAGCAGTTTCCTCTCAGATATCAGTAAAATTGCAGAGCAACCTGATGGGCTCATTGTGTTACAAAAGAGTTTTCTGGGTGACATTCTTGAAGAGGAGAACATAGACATAGAGAATGTAAAAGTAGGAACCCAGAAGATTCAAAGTGCATTTTGCGGAAAGAGAATGCTTGCAGTTCTGGATAATGTGAACAGATTAGACCATTTAAATGCTTTGGCTAGAAAGCGTGATTGGTTTGGTCCAGGCAGTAGAATCATCATAACAACTAAAGATCCACATTTGCTAAATGTCCTTGAAGTGGATGATGTCTATGGGACTCGTGGCATTCAGGTAAATAATCCCATCCACATACTGTATGAAATGATCACTTTATAAAAGGAGCCATGACTAAGAAATAATCCTATCAAAGACAACACAAAACTTGAAGTACATGATTATTTAAGATTTTCATGTCTTCATGCTTGTTTATGTTTTATGTCTCATGTTTGTGCTATGCTATATATCTCCTAAGTACCGAAGTTTAGTTTGGATTGGGAAACAATGTTCATGCAGGTCATAGAGGACCAGTATAGGCAAAATCTTCTCCAAATTAATGATCTCTTGCAGGACATGCTGAGGCTTCATATCCAGGTGTTGATAGTAACTTTAGGATTTGGATAAAACTTCTGATTTACTCAATCATCAAAAAAGATAATAAATTGAATCTTTATGTACGGAAATGCAGTCTTGCGGCAGGGAATTATTTCTCTTGGAAGAGATAGAGAAAGAACAAAAAAAGAATGCCTCTCAGGTATAAATGGAGTTCTACACTTAAATGTTTAATCCCTTAAAGTAGAAGGGATAGACAATTTAGCCCAATGTAGAGACTTTGAGGAACTAATTTGTATAGCAGAATAAAGCCAAGGACTAAATGTGTTTTTACTCCTAAAATGGTACTATCCGTGATACAGGCTCGAATGATAGAGAAGTTACAAGGAAGCATAAACCAGTGGGACCCTCTAAATCTGCTCACTTCAAGGGCTGAAAATCCTGAAAGTGAGAGGATAGTGCAGGAGTTTGCAGGGAGTTCTGGTGGTGAGAGAGAAATAATCAAGCCTCAGATGCAGGGAAAGGCGTTGAAATAAATGGCAAAGTGGAAAATCCTGGTGGATCCGGTGTCATTAAAGGTAAAAGGCACCCGCAAGGCACGCAAGGCCTACGCTTCCGAGTGAAGCAAAATGTCATGATGTGAAAATGCATAATATATAGCCAAGACAACAAATTATAGACAAAATGATAAAAATTTCCATATATATATATATATATATATTTTATATCTTGTCTCTTATTTTGAATTAAATTTTCTTATTTTTTTTATATTATATAAGTTTGGAAGAATGATAGTTAAGTTTTAAAGAGACTAATTAATTCAAGTTAAATTTGAATTAATTTTAGAGTATCAACAAATTTCGTTTGTCTACCAATGATAATAAGTTTGACATTTATAGAAATTTGCAAATTTAACTTTTAATTTTATAATTTTTTTGTGATGCATTTACAACTTATCTTTTAAATTTTAACAAGGAAAATAAATGTCTATCTTTAATGTTCAAAGACATGCACAATATTGAGGAAGTAAGGTCTTTTGTAAATTCTTAAAATTGTTATACTAAATATTTTTTAACATTAAATATGAATGTTTGTGTTCTTGAATTTGTTAAGATTTATCACCACTGAAAAACTAAGAGACTTTATTAACATTTTGAAATTGGTTGAACTAAATTTAAATTAATTGATCCTTTTAAGATTTAATTGCCATTCTCCCTGTAAGTTTTCATATTTTAAAGGGTTATTTGTTATATAAAAGGGGGAAAAATCAAGGGAAAATGACAATTAAGGACTTTTTAAAAATATTAATCCCAATTACGAATCATCAAATTTTGAAATTTCAGTTAAGGATCATGGTCTTTGGTTGTGATAAAAAAATGTAGTTTGTGAGGTGAAATTCACTATTGCCACTTGAAAATTTACTAACTCAACATGAAATTTTTTTTAATGTATATTATAAAAACATGAAACCCCACTTGAAAAATTAATTGTTCAATAAAAAACGTCATTTGAAAATTCACTAACTCGACTTAAAAAAATTTTTAATGTATATTGTGAAAACATGAAATTTCACTTGGAAATCGATTGTTTAATAAAAAAAATTTGGACAAGTCACTTTTTATTAAACAATTGATTCTCAATTAGGGTTTCATTTTTTCACAATATATGTTAAAAAATTTTTCAAGTCTAGTTTGTGAATTTTCAAGTGGTGCCTTTTGTTAAACATTCAATTCTCGAGTGGTGTTTCATATTTTCACAATATACGTTAGAAATTTTTTCAAATCGAGTTAGTGAATTTTCAAGTGAAGTGTTTTATTAAATAATCCATTCTCAAGTAGGGTTTCATGTTTTCACAATATACGTTAGTAATTTTTTCAAGTTGGGTTAATGAATTCTCAAGTCACGTTGGTGAATTCACCTCACAAATGATATTTTTTTATCATAATTAAGGATCATAGTCTTTAACTTCCTTTTTTCAAAAATCAATCATCATCTTCAATGCTCAGTGGCAGTCGGTCGTCATCTTCAATCCCAATCCTACTCAGTTGTCTTCTTTGCTTCTTCAATGCACAGTTGTTGGTTGTTGTCTTCTATTTTTCAACCCTCAGCCGGGCGTCTAAGAAACCCTTTCGCCTCTCTTAACATGTGAGAAGTCATGTTTATTACACATTTATTATTATTATTATTATTAACTAAAAATTATATTATATTTACTCAAATTGCACATTTATTATATTGATTTTGAAAAATCACAACTAGGACATTTTGACTATAAAATTAGGCTTTTAAAAAAATGTTTGAGAAAATTTGTTAAGATGCATTTTTAGTCCAAAAGAACAATGATCTAATTAGATTTCTAAAACTGATTTTAGATTGAAAGTAATTAATTTTAAAAGTTACTATTTTAAAAAGTTAAAGTTTTGGGTTGACTTATTTTTATGCACTTGGATTAGGTCATTTTTGCGCATGTATGGGCTTATATTTTTAGGATGAATGTCACGCCCCAAAGCCTCATTTGTAATGTCATAATTAGTATTTACTATTTAATTTGTATTGCACCATATATTTAGGAATTAATTTTAATAGAAAATATAAATTATTATCATATGCTTTGAACTTTAATCTTGTGTGCCACATTTATTTGTGTAAGGTTATGCATCTTGAATTTGGTACATGAAGACCATTGAATTAGAATATTAGATGAATTAAGAGGTAAAACACTTGAGTTTTGAGGTAAAAGTATAAGCCTTGTTTGGTCTTGCACACCTTATACTACACTTTGATTCCACTCACTTTTTCTTAATTTTCATTGTCTTTAGTTTTATTTAATTCAATTTTTGTACCATTTTCATTTAAATTTTCATCCATTTTATCCTAGTAAATAATAAAATTACTCTAGTTTATTTTTCACCCATTTACTTAACACTAGAATTGAGCTTATTCACCCTAGACTTGAATCAAATTATCCTAATTTCATTTTCAGTATTCATTCTTTTATTCATCCTCATTTTGGTAGCCACCATTCCCCATTTTCTTTCCATTATTTTTTATATTCTTTATCTCTATCTCACATTCTCTCTACCATAACTCATGATCTAACTATCAAAATCCTGATCCAACTCTATCATTCTTCTTCTCTCACCTCACACTTCAAACCCTATTACTTTGTTTCTTGGTTTGACTTCAAAATCTTTAAGGTGTTCATGAGTACGGTTTGGCCATAGTAAAAGGATTGTATTCAAGTGGATTCCAAGATGACAGAGGCTAAATCTACAATGAGTGCTAGGAGGGAAAGATGTTAGAGGAGTCTTGAAGTGTTTCAATGAATGTGAAGGGTCATGGTCACTCTTCATTAAACCTACGTTGATGTAATATTATTCTTAAAATTAGGAACACTGTTATATCTTGTTTTTATTGACTAAAATTGGTGTTTAACTTGATGCTTTATTATTTTTTTTCACTTGATTCTCCTTTGTATAGTTGCTAAAAATTTTCTCCAATACATTATAATTTATATAAATATATCTTTTATATGTATTAAATGTGTCTTAAATTGACTATGCATAAATATATTTAGTTGGTGTTTGATAAAATGTATTGTATACAAAATTATGTACTAGACTTAACATAAGCCGAGTTGTACTTAAGGGAAACCTAAGGGGAATTTCAATCACTTTGCACCTAACTAAGGAGTTAATTAGGTATATGTGTAAAATTGTGCAAGAACTTGATTAATTAAATTAGTTAGGAAAGCATATTTATACAAAATTATGTAAGGAATTTTATTCGATCAAGAGTGTGGAATTTAAACTAAGCCTAATTAAAAAGAATAGATAAAGAATCTAGCATTTCATAACTTCTAGGATTCCACTTTAGAAAACTTTAAATGCTCACATTTTCATTTTACTAATTAACTAGGTTTTAATTAAATTTATCCATTTAGTTTAATTAAGTAAAAATCAATCAATTCTTGATTAGTTTAACTCACTAGTTAGCCTTAAGTAACCTTAGCTATCCTTCTTAGTGAAAAATGACTTAAGTTGTCACTAATTCTATATTAGCGTTAACTTAACAATTTTGGATGTAAGCGACATATACTTCCAACATGAGAGGCGAGCTATTCTAGAAAAATTTAGTATTCTAAACTTACGTATAGTCTAATTTTAAAATAGTATACTAAGGATTTTGTCGTTAAAAAAATTAAATTTAATTATTAATTGATATAAAAATTAGATAAAAAGACTTAACAAATTACAAAAAATAACACATAAAATTATAAATAATTACCCTTTAAGAAAATTAATATTGATTAAGTTCTCAAAATAATGGTTGGTCAAGATTATATTTTGGCCTTTTATGTAGATAAAAAATAATATTTGTATATTGTTATTTGTAAGTAATTTATGGAACTTAATTAATATTAATTTTCTTAAAGGTACTTACGTGTAATTTTATGGGTCTTAAACTGTAATTTTTGATATCTTTTTTTTTTGGTAATTTTTAAGTCTACTAACAATCAAAGTTAACTTCTTTAGTAGTAAGATGTTCAATGTATCACTTTCAATTTTTTTTTAAAGAAAATTACACCTCATGAAATTTTAAGATATTAGATACTCTTAGTTTTAGGTAAATAGTTGAGTGACAAAAATATTTTTTAACTTAAAATAATATATCGATGCAACAAATTTGTACCTACATGCCATACATTTCCCTCATTTTTTTTCAAAAGAATATCATTTAGGGCTCTTATAACACAAAATTTTGTATTTAAGACCTAACACAATCTAAAAACTCTCTACAAGTTTAAGGACCTTAAATAAAAATATGTTTTAATAAAAAAAGATGCATTTGTACTTGAATATTTTGTTGTCAATTACAGGATATTATGTTATGCATTCATTTTGTACAATTTGTATATTTCAAGTTAAACTATTTCCATGAGAGCAATTATACATTATAAGACATCGCGTTAAATTTTGTGGATATTATGTTGTGCATTTATGAATATCTATTATTCTTTCATTTTGTACAATTTGTACATTTCAAGTTAAATCATTTTCACTAGATTAATTGTATATTAAAGGATATTAAGTTGAGAATTTATAGATATTATGTTGTGTGTTCATAAAGAGAGGGGGGACAAATGTATCCTTTTTTTTTGAAGCATTTTTTTCACTTAAAGCCCTTAAACCTATAGAGAGTTCTCAAATTTTATTAGGTCATAAACACAAATTTCTGTACTATAGGGGCCTTAAGTGAGCTTCTCCCATTTTTTGTTTTTTGGGTAAAACATTTCACACAATTTGTCATAATGGAGAAGTCATGTGGGTGATATTTTTTTGAAAAATGATATTAATTTTTTTAAAAAATAAGTTATGAATTTGAATTCAAACAGTTACAAATAAAATTTAAATTACAAATTGAGATTTATATTTTAATTTAATTTTAAAAAACATTAAAAATTTTAAATTTGTAATTATTTAAATTAATATTTGCAATTTATAAAAAATTTTAACAAGAACTTAATTGTTATTACTTTTTTTATTATAAGCCTCGACTGTCATTTTCTCCTGTTTTTGCAACATTTTTCAATTAAATTCATCCCATCTAGCTTCCAAAAAAAAGTTCATCGCATATATATGCAGAGAGAACGATACATGAAAATTTACTTTCTATACATGCTTCAGATAACTTTGCAAAGTAGAAAATTCAAAATATTTGTGTTCATAATATAAAGGGGCCTAATGGAACATACAACAAATTTCAACCACAAAAATATACAACAACCATAAGACAAATTAAAAAAAAAAGGATTTTTTACATATACAACCCTAAACTTTGACTAATAATACAATCGGAATTTTTTTGGGGAGAATTGCTTTGGGGTCCCTCACAAGAGATTTAAATATTACAGGGTTCATGGACAATTTAAGCCTGTTTTGTGAGACTTCTGTATAATTCTCTCATTTTTTCCCCCGCAGTTCACGTCTAACCGGCCAAGTTTGTACGGTAACAGCCTTCAGGTTATTCATTTGTCTTTAATCAAGCCAATTCCTTGAGTTTGTTTTAAGTTGGCTATAACTTGTTCCTAAAAGACAGGCACAAAGGATTAATAAATAAAGAATACATAATTAAACTTAGAAATTGAAAAACTACTATTGACAATAAAAAATATTTATACATATATATATATATATATATAATGTACTTTTAATTTTTAATTTTTTGTAAAATTTTAAGTTGGTCCCTTAAAATAACTTTTCAGTCCTTTAACCCTAATATAGTTAGTTTCACAAAATATATTTTTTGTATAAATTATTGTTATTTAAAAAAATTAAATGTAATATGTTAATATTTAATAATTTTTTGTCAATATTTAAAAGTTTTATGTTGGCATTTTTTTAATGAAACTAGTTGTGTTAGAATTAGAAGATTGAAAAGAAATTTTATAAAATTAGAGTATAAAATCAAACTTTGTGTCAAGGTAAATGACCAAAATTATCTTCTGTCAAAAAAAAAGGGAAAATTATTTCAAGGTTCCACTCAAATAGACCTGAGAATAATTAATTATATTAAATGAGACTTATATGTAATTTTCTCAAAAAAAAATTCTTTACAACAATTAAGACAAGTTCTAATGTAATATTTCAATGGAATAATATACCTGGATGGCATTCTTTTGGCGTAGTTTCAGCCGATATTGCCGCAGATTCCTCTCTCTTTCAATTGTCTACCATTTGAAGCAGTGACAGATTTACATGGTGATCAACAAAATTCAAATCATAATGAAAGTACAACAGTTGCAGACAAAGAAAAGCCAAAAAAGTAAATAAATAAAAGGACTTCAGTACCGTTTGCTGAAGTAGCAGTATGTAGTGCTTGAGTCCAGCAATCATATGATTACTAAGTTGAAATTGATTCCAGATGGTCTATACACAGACAAGGCAGAATAAATTAGTTATATGAAAATAAGCTTTAATCTTATAGAATCGCATGGGACAGGATAGAGTGATTTTTTCGTATTCTTTATTATTTTGTTCATGCATGCATGCATATAATTCAATTTATAAATAATTCAACTTTTTCTAATCATCAGATCTCAATACCTCTTGTCTCCCTATTAATTAATTTTTTAAATTTCCAAATTATCCCTATTTATTACGCAATATTTTTCACTGCAAAAATACTAGAATGAATTAATGAAAGAGGTATTTTAAGAAAACTATCACAAAATTGTTATACATTAACTAATTTAACTGATTTTCTCAATATAAATAAATTGATTAACTTATTCTTACATTTTGGACTAAAGGGAGTATTCCCTCCTATGCATAATATAATATTTTTTTAAAAGCATTAGATAGTTCTTATAACTTTTTTTTTTTTAAATTATTCCCTCACTTTATTTATTATTAGGCTAAGGTACATTTTTATTTCTTAACTATTCTTGGAGGAACACCTGATGTTTTAAACTATTTATTGTAGTAATTTCACTACTAAAGTAATTAAAACATAATATATTTGCCATTGATTTTAAATAATCTAAAGTTGATAGTTTAAAATGCTAATTGAAACTTAAATTTGACCAAAAATTTCACCTCTCATGCCAAATGAATTCAAGTTAAGGTACATTTTTCCTACTTTTTAATTACTTTAGGGGTATAATTACTCCAACACAAATAGTTTAAGACATTGGATATTCCTCAGGAGGATAGTTCAGGGACAGAAATGCATCTTAACCCTTTATTATGTCTTGAAAAAAAAAAAATAGTCTACTAGAATTTGAATTGTCATTATTAAGACATTTAATGAGGATATAGTTGAAAATATATACTTTTCTTTTTTTAAAAAAAATTGAGGTTTTAACTAAGCTTTTTAGAAGTAGTAATCACCTTAGTAATTAACGAGGGGACAGAGGCAAGTGGCAAGTGCCTTCATTCTCTCTTGACAAACACAAAAGCAGGAAAGCATACCTGTATATTGGAGGGTAAGGGAAGACCTTGAGCCAAGTACACTTGATCTACGCCAAGTTTATTTAGCAACCACAGATCTCTGGTTCTTGTTGTTATGATGATTTTACTTCCCAAACCAAACCAACTCCTATTCCAAACCAATGCATATAGTTGCTCGAGATCATCCACACCATCCACAACAATCAAAACCCTCCTTGAGCACAGTTTCTTCTCGATCATATCCATTCCTCTGCTCACATTTCCCACTTTACTTTCTGTAGAAAGAGTGTCAGACAGAAGCTTCTCCTGCAACTGAACTAAACCATCAGGCATTCTTGTTTTCTGGCCAACATTTTCAAGGAAACTGCTTCCTTCAAATGTGAATGAGATTTGGTCATAAATTGCTCTTGCAATTACTGTCTTTCCCATCCCACTTTCACCACATATGCCTACCACAAGTACATCATGCATGCCCACTTGCAGGAACATGTTCAGGTATTGATGTATTGTGTCATATCTCAGAGGATAGATGGAAATGCTGAGGTTTGTGGGTATTCTTTTGTTCACAATGTCTTCAACTAGTTTACCCACCAGAAGTGATTCAATCCTAAAAGATGTTGATCATCAAGGAATAAGCTCGGATGCTTTTGTATAGATATGCAAATCTTCATTCAAGTCCGTCAAATCTACAAACTCGTGCAGTTATCAAACAATCCGTCTTGTTTTAATTTAAAATGTGTCTTATCATTATTATTATGGGAATATTTATTGGACGTGTATGTTATCTAGACACTTAGATCTTGTTTGGTGACTACAAAGATGAGAATGAAATTGATTGAAAAAAAAAATTAAAATAAAAATGAATTAAATCCCTCTCCCTTTCACAATAGTAAGCATGATAGAATTTATTATAATATAACACAAATGTAAGAATCATCACATTGTCCAAAATTTTATAAATCATAACTCACAACTCATGAGCTAAATTATTCTTTTACCTTATTAATGTAGCTCATTTATTTTTTTAATCATTTTATTTCTACCTTTATTTTTTTTAATCTATTTTATTCAATTCCTTTCTAACAACAACTCATTTGAGTTCTTAATGCACCTGGCGAGAGTATAAGTAACATCACATTAATGTCTAGATATAATCATCAACATCGGTATCGATATAATTTTAAGTCATAGAGCACGTGAATTTTTCTGTACTACTTCATTACTTTACCTGCACATTTCAACAGATTTAAGAAAAATAAGTATAATCTCTCTGAAACATTCAAGTAATTTTCAGATTGAAAATCTGAAGTAACCGCAGTAAAATTTAATGATCTACACATTTCAGCAGAATCTTTCAAAAAATGTTTAAGTAATTTTCTATCTAGTTAAAGAAAATTAATGAAGCATGATCAGATTAAAGTTTGAAGCTAATGCAATTAAATTTTTCATCATTGACTTGCATACTCACCTATTGCTTCCCCGATGATCCCAGCCACACAAATTAGCAGCTTCTTTGAGAGCAGATTTCCATCTTTTCTCCCATACTCCTCCTTTCCTCTGAGCGTTCACAATCTTAAAGGCATCGCCTCTCTGCTTCCTTATGTCAGACGGATCCATCTCGTAGAAGATCGGCAACACAATCAATCCCCATTTCTGCCGATTCTGCAGAATCACCACAAGCTCCTCTAAACACCAGCTCGAATAAACGTAGTTTTCCGATAGCATCACGATTGAAATCTTGGACATCGCTATCGCTTCCTTCAGATCTCTCCCAAGGTTCGTGCCTTTCTGCTTCTCTCTCAGACGCCTCTCGTCCTTGAACGTTGGGACGCCTCGAAGCGTCAGAGATCTGTCGATCATGTCTGCGATGTACTTCGATGGATCGTCGTTTTGGACGCTGATGAACACTTCGTGTGTTGGGGCTGCGGCTAAGGAGGAAGACGACATTGGAGTGTGAGAGCTGAGATTTTGCTCAGTGCGACTGCGAGCGAGCAAAAAGGCACTAACTTGCTTCGCGAGCTTTCTTAATCGCCTTCAACTGTGGAAAATTTGGCCAGATGACATTGACAATTTGACACAACCCACAAGCCATGACTGTTGGATAACAAATTAATTATGAAAATGACAGTTACGTAACAATATTTAATAAATTTTTATTTATTATTTTATTATCAGTATCAATTACTCTTCGCAAATTTAAGGATCTATTTATCAAATATTTGAGATAATATAAATTTTATTCTTGTATGAATTATCGATTTCATTACTCACGTTTAACTTTTATTAATTTAGTCTTTAATATTTTTATGGTCCTATTTATTAAACAAAAAGAGAAAAAAAATTAATTCTATTTATAAAATATTTGCCAATTTCTAATGCATTTCTTTACATTTTCACCTTTATTAAATGTTTTGAATAAAAATATTAGTAATGAAATTTAAGAACATTTATAAAGAGTAAAGGTAAAAATTTATTAAATTTTAATACAAAATTAATGAGATTTAAAATTTTTCTTAATTCCGATAAAACATACTAAAAATGACTTATAAATAAGATAAGAGGAAGTATTTCATAAAAATACCAATGCGATCCTTAATTTTTTGGGGAAAAAAAGCTAATATTGTTAAATTATAATAATATGGCTAATGAAATTATGACATGGCCGTCACATAGAGTAACTGAAAATAGGGTAAAGTAGTAAATTTAGCCTAAATTATTTTTTGGGGAGCATCTAGTAGCCTCAACTATCAAATAGTGTAAAATAAATCACAAATTTTAAAAAATGGAGTATCCAATAATCTGCTGTTAACTTCAACTAACGAATGTTATGTGGAGCTCACAATGACATTGGCATGATGCGAGCACAACACGTCAGCATGGTAAAGATGCAAATTTATCTACGAACTATTTTCTAAGAAGCATTGGGTAACTTATACTATTAAAAAAATAGACCATCCAACACTTTTCCCTCAATTTTGACCATACGTCATTTATTTTCATGCTTATGAGGCCTATAAAGCATTAATCTCTCTAATCTTTTTTCCTTTATTCTTAATTTTAGCTCGAGAAAAAGAAGTTCAAAGATTTCTTATCTAAAAACATTCGTGAAGACAACACTAACAAATGGGGCTTGTGCAAAATTCCTTTTTAGATTTATTTCCTTGGACTTGGGCTTAAAAATTTTTACCTTTGGGCTCATAAATTAGGTCTCCCGATATGTATAAAACCTATAGTTAACGCTAGAATTGGTCTACTAATTTTCAATTATATTTTCACACATAATCATCCATTAAATCATATTTTTAGCTAATAAATTCAAACAAATGACTTTCAATAGCATCAAAAATATGAATAAATTTAGTAAAATATTAGAAGTAATCGAACCCCCACACTTGAATGTTTACTTGTCCTTAAACAAGAGAAAATCACTATATAAAAAGGGGAAAGAACATGTGAATGTTTCAAGGCCAATTTCAATTCAAACTTTCAAGAACTCAATTTAATTAGAAATTTTTCTTTTCTTTCAAAAATAATAGCAGCAAGGCAATTAATTAAGCAAAGAAAAATTTCAATAGGTTGTCCCTCACCAGTCAAGTGTTTACATTCTACGCTCAAGGTGTCTAAAGGTTCATATTTCATTTAATTCCATTTATTATAACTCATCTACCATAGGCTTGTTTTTTTATCTCAATCTCCACTAAATTATGTCATTGCACACGCAAATCAAAAAAACTTTTTAAGGGTTAAAATGTTTTAGGTAGGATAATAAAATGGAGTTATTTAATGGGAACAAACACTTCCTCTAGTCAACGTTAAGAATTTTAGATGAAGATCAAGAAAAGTTGAAGGAAAGTCTTATTACAAAATAACAATTTACCACAACTATTTTTGGACAATATCCATAAAAATCAAATAAATTTTGTTGTCTTTCTTTTTTCCCCCTTCTTCTTCTTCTTCGTATTGTTGTTGATCACTATTTTTTTTCAAAACCTCCTTGCTTTTCTTCTCTTGTACTTTTTTTTAAATTTGAAAACTAAATCCTAATTCCTTCACTTTCTTTCCTAGATTTTAACACTTAGCACTTTCTAAAGTAGTCAACAAGAAGAGAAGTGGAAGAGAAAATAAATCTTAATAAAGGGCTCATGACTTGTTTCTTTAGTTTAAAAATAAGGCTAAGGCTCAAATGGATGAAATAAGGGATTTATTGTGAAAAGGGGTGGGTATTTGGCCAAACTAACTTTAAAAATGAATGCCTAAATCATTTTTGTATTTGCAAATAGCTATTATAAGTCTCAATAGAAATTCAAAACAAGTTTTAGAGATGAAATCACAATAAATATACTCCCTCTTAAAGGAAATCAACATTTAGGCTCAAAATTCTCGTAAACTTTTTGGACAAACTATAGTTAATTATTCAAACTTAATCCATTGACTGGTGAGTCTTCAATTTTGTAACCCTTTTATTTTTCTCTTAATTTTTTTTCCTTTAATAGACTTGTAAGACCATAATATTAGATTGCTACGTCTTGGCTTTACAACCATAATCTTAATTAATACTTTTGTATGGAGATTGATTTGATTATTGTTAAATTTCATTTGGTATGTTGAGATATATATTTCAACCATTTTTTAGGAATTTTCATAATCTTGAATATTTTTGAGTGTTTTAACCTAGCTTATGCTTCGTCATTAACTTGAGGAGTGTTTCTTGGACTTGCTTATGATTCATCATAATTTTAGGGGTCATTTGAGTTGTAAGGGGCTAAATATACTCGCTGGAATTTGTCATTAATCACCTAACATGGGCTTAAAACTAAATTAGAGAATTGAATTGGACTATAAAATTCTAGGCTTAATTATAGTCCCTAGTGAGGTTAAGTTGCTAGAAAGAATTATCCTAGTAACTTCATAATTTAGTTAGGAAGAGAAGAATGAAGGGTGGCTAACTAATATTTCATAAGTGGTTAAGATTCGAGCATTAATCTAACTCCAAGTTGTTGGATAAGTTGGTACCTAAGAGGAGGTGAATAGGTGATGCTAAAAATTTCTTGAAAGCTTAAAGAGTGAAAAGACTTGAGCCAGAAGGAAGGAGATAATGCACATGAGATTTATTCTAGTTCAATCCAAACTTGTTCTACATTTAGTCCTCAAGATTATATTTGAGATTTTCAACTAAAATCACAAGTTTTAATGGGTGTTTGCCACCACAGTACAACTTATAAGACTTAACTTGTCTTGATTCAATAACAGTCCTTGCTACAATCCAGCAAGATGTTACAAATATTTGAAAAACTCTTTTTCAAGATTTTAGATGAATTATAAAAATGTTCACAAAAAACTCTCTAGAATAGTATATAAATTACAAATGAAAGCTTATAAACTTGTGAGAGCTTTTTCACAAACTTTATGAAGAATGATGAATGCTAAACATTTATACATAATTTAAAATCTTTTTAGAATGTTCAAATAATGAATAGTTCACTCAAGGATTAGAATTCTTGTTCTAGACTTGAATTATATTATATATATAGTTTTGAAAGTTAACAGACTATTGAAATAGTGTTACTAGCCGTTAGTGACATTTTTTGAGTGCAACCAAATGTTTCACATGTGAAATGGAGCTATCCAAGTTCCAGACATGCATATGTGACAATTCAAGCACGAACCACAAGGTGTCTCATGCGTATTTTAGGGGGTAAGAATATGCAACTTATTCTGTGTGACAAAACTCATGTGTGACCCTTAAGTTCTCATGGCATAATGCTAAAGCCAATTTTGTGTGACAAAACTCGCGTGAAACCATCAGACTATCCTGCGTGGAATGGCTTATTGCAAACTTAAACCATTTAGAAAGACAAATCATGTATGGAACACTATGTTATTCTCGCATGAAATGGCAAGTTGCAAGACTTAAACCATTCTATAACTCATATCATGCATGGGACCGAAATGTACTTAAGCAAGGAATGCATGATCAACAAATTTAGAACAATAGATGATAGATCATGCAAGTGTACAATATTGAACCAGGCTTGAAATTGTTTAAGACTCAATTTAGCAAAATATCTTTAAAAGACTTGATGGCAAATCATATATGGTTGCCTTCTATTTCACACATGAAATGGCACTTTACAATATGCAATAGGACACAATATGACAAATCAAGTGTGCATACTTATGGGTTGCTTGCATGAAATGGAGCATAGAAGTAATGTCAAGGTATCACACAAACACAAGTAAAATCACGTGTGGATCACTCTTTATTTAGGCGTGAAACATTAGTTGGTATGTCTAACATGACAAATCATGCATGCGACTATACTGAATCATGCATGATTCATCAGACAATGAAAAGCTCAACTTCTATGGTCTACTACAAGCTAAAATGGCATGGCTCACAAGCTTGGATGTACAAAGATGAGTCCTAAGATGCATAAATGAGGCTTATGAGCTAGAAATGATGCATTCATTTCAATGATAATGATATATGATTAAGCTCTCAAATTTTTCATGTTTAGTCTAAGAGAATTAAATAACTTGACCGATAAATCTTCATCTTCTCTAGATTTTTCATGTTCTTGAGGTTTTATCTTCATCCATAATTTTTTATTTATTTGCATACATAACAAACACCTCTTCTCTTAGTTTTGTAATCATCAAAACACATGATCCAACACAAGTACCCTATTCTATCCCATTTTCACAAACTCATTAGCTTAGGTCTTTAGGCTTTAATTAGGTTAATTAATGTTTTAGTTTAACTCACTTAAAATTAATAAACTCTTAGGACTTTTATTTAATTTAGTTACATTAAGAAGCTCTAGATTTAATTTTTAAACACCTCTTTGGGAGATGACTGTAATGACCCAAAATTTTAAAATTAAATAAATTTTCTCCTAATTAATATTTAATTTATTTATCATAATTTTAAGACAAGTGAGGAAAGTAGTTTAGCGAAAATTGATACTGGGTATTTATATGGAGATTTAGAGTTTGAATCTTACTTTAAGCTAAATGTTAGTTTATTTTCTTTTATTGAGAGAAAGTAGCATGGGCTTGAATT